TGTAATTAAAGCAGTCCTAAGAGAACTGATTAATGAATTGACCTGAAATGCCTTATTATAGATCCTACACAAAACTTACTTTTAAAAATGTACTACAAAGTTTTGTAGAGTTTAGCTAGAAAGCCACTAGAGCCTGAAGACTGATTCTCTCTGTAAAACACAGAAGACCAAAGTATAAAATTAAAATTTTCCTCTACCTTTGTGTGTAAATCAATCTCAGGAAGTGCAGCTTTACAAAGGGTAGCTCAGATTAGAGAGTGGCATTTGCTTATGCAAAAGATTAGTTTCTAATTCTACTATAAGAAAGACATTAATATATATTTCTGTTCTCATTTAAAACTCCACTGATTTCATTAATGTTCTTATTATGGTATTGACATTTTTTTAAAATTATTATTATTGTTGTTATTTATATCACTATTTGTGATTTCACTTATTTTTTTTGTGATCTCCTTTGGTAACTGTATATATGTGACACTACCAGGAAATAATATAAGTAACTTTCTTTTTCTTGTCACCACCAAGAATGTTTTAGATTATTTAGTTAGTTCTTTGTTAAGAAATAAAACTTTGGCTATGGAGGGGGGGGGGGGGGGGGGGGGGGGAGAAGAGAACAAAAAGATCTTGCCAGAAATCATCTTTACATGTAATTTGTAACAGAGGCAGTTTGGTTGTTCAGATGTTTTCCTTCTCACACTTCTCCAGTTAAATGAATGAAAACTATTCTTTTCAATATTTTTCATATGCTGGATTCTTGTTATAGGATAAGGAGAGAAGCAACCAGATGCTTATGAAATTGTAGTGGGAGAAAAGAGAAAGGGCTATTCATGGATGGATTTGGAGAGGGGTGAAAAGGGTGGTAATATAATAAGTTGAAGTATTTTTTTTTTTTATGCCTTAGGGAAACAAATGAGAGCAAAAGTAAATGCAGTGTGAAAGCACACAGTTTGCTTATTTATTTATTTATATATTTACTTAACCATTAAAGTTTGAATTAGTTATCCATGCTAATATAACTTTAAATGTTTTGTCTTTGGAGTATACTTAGGAGAGAATATTTTTTGTGTGTTTTTCTTTAACTGTGGATTGCTATGAGATAAAATTCATATGTAGCAAAATGAATTGCTACATATATGATTGCTTTGCCATCATATATGAATATGATTGCTTTGGTGCTAATAACCAGATTCCATGGAAAACGGGATTTTTATGAAAATTGTCAGATACCTGAAAATGACTGCACAATGCAATAATCTGAAAACACCACAGACAATTATGATAGTCTACTGAAGTGATATCATTTCTCTCTTGGACACCCTACCAAGAATTGGAGGGTGTCCAAGAATATGTCATTCTTAAGCGTTATTAAAAAATAAAATAAAATAAAAGAATGAAGCTTCCATTCACTGAGACTAAATGTTAAAAAAGCAGATTTTTTTGAACAGTCCTAATTTAATGAATTTACAAAACTGATTTCAGAAAGATGAATGAGAATGAAGTATTTTGTGAAGTAGCCAATGCCACTGTCAGAGCTGAAAACAGTGCCTTATTTTTAATCCCTTCAATCTACCACCCATCCATTTGTTCAAAACGGACATAGCTCAGCCCTGTAAGGTTAGCATTAAATGTTATCTACTAAATCCAGCCAAATTTAATCCTCCCTTGAATCATAGGAGTAACTCAATATAGTAAACTACCTTTAGGTTGGAGTTTCACATTATAGTTTTAATTGGGTGGACTTTTTAATCCCTTTATTTCAATAAGAATGACCCATATGCTTGTAGTTAGGTATGAATTAAAGCCTAAAAACTGTGAAAAAAAATATATATTGTGAAAGTCCTAGTTCTGTGTGAAGGCCTGAAGACAGCATTATTTTATTAATCCTGACCTGCTACATGAAATATTGACTCCAATATTTAACTAAATTATATGTTCCGGAAAGGCACAGGGTATTTCTGTGAACAGAAATACCAAGATGCATAAAAACAAACAAACAAACAAACAAACAAACAAACAACAACAAAAAAAAAACACACATAAAACAGTTTGTTAAATTGTTACCTACAAGTTTTATTGAGTTGGGACTTACTTTATTGGAAGGACTTTAGGAGCCCAGACATGTACCAAAAATATTCTTTAAGTAAATAAATAATAATAATAAGCTAGTTGGAAATGGGACATATGAAATAATTGAGGAATTTCTGTGATATCAGGGTTCAAGAAAAGATTTTTCATTTTAACTATTAGCTCACATTCTGGTAGCCCCACGGTTTCATCCCCAGAGCCTCAAAGTTTAATAACTGATGGTTTTAAGACCTAGAAAACAAAAAAACAAATAAAAACTGTATGTCAGATGTCAGTTATCAAATTAAAATCATCGTCTATATTAGCTTTTTCCACAAGATCTCAGAACTAATATCTGCAATTTTATGCCCAGCACTGAAGAAGTACATCACATATTAAGTAATCCTCAGTGTTGATGTTTTCCACATCATTGTATTAAAAGTATAAACTTTTAGAATTCAGTAATTCATTTTATTCAATTGATCTGCTGGACAAAAACAGAGCCACTGATTTCAGGTTGATAAAAGAGAAGATGCAATAATAATAATAATAATTTAGCATAAAAATAGTTAAATGATGTTCTCTCTTTCTCTCTGTATTCTCCCTTGAGAAGCTTTTTTTTTTTTTTTTTTTTTAATGGCAATTCAGCTGGGGAAACTGAAATTCAAGATGCAGGAAGAATTCTTTCAATTCCATGTTGCAATACTCACTCCATGGCATTGTTAAATATTTCTCATTTTATTAATTGGATTGACCCCAATAAATAGAACCAGTGACTCTTGAATTTTCCAGAGAATGAATCTTTTCATTTGAACTAATGGTAAGTTACCCTCAGAAAATTGAGTTTGCGTTCATAATGAAGTTATGAAATCTACTGCTGAATTCATTAAATTGGAATAACTTTTATTTCATTATAGTAACAAACACAGCAAATTAATTTTCTCAGCTAGGCATCAGTATGTGTTTTTTAATAGAGAACACTATTATGTGTGAACAATTAAAATCATTTACATTTGGAGAACATTGATTATGAATGATGTTATTATCCCATTAATACAGCAAAACCAATCAAAACTGAATGTTAAAGAGCTGAAATTGTGCATTTAAACTAATAAGTAAATTATGTGCAGATGTAGACAGGAGTCTGGAACTTTGGTACAAAATGTTGGTTGTGACTGGCACATATGATTAGCAAATTTGCACTGTCCCTTAAGGTCTAATTAAGCTCTATACACTATAAGACAGAAAGCTCCATACACATAATTACCCATTGTGTGCTTGCTTATCTATTAAAAATATTACTTTTGTTGTATTTAATTATGCGTGAAAAATGACGAATGTAATTTTATCTATGTAATCTTATCATGTGATCATTCTGCCTGTCAAGGAATGCCAGTATTTTAATTCTTTATAAAGGAACAACAACTTGAAGATACAATTATATATATATATACATATATATACATATAAATATATATATATAATGAAACTTTTTATATGTTGTTACTTTTTTTTTTTTTTTTTTTCCTAATAACATCCTTTTGGATAAATGGAGAGCTATCTGTATGCAATTGCATCTTTTTATTTTTTTTCTCTCTCTCTTTTTTTTTTTTTCTCTCTTTTTTAACTGAAATAGGAAATAAAAATCAAGCTGTCCTACAATACAATATGGATACCCTACAATAAAGAAAGGGTAGGTCTCTCTGCAAGTAGGGTCTATGCTCCTTGTCACTTTCAGACTCCTAAAGTTGTTTTACTTCAGAATCAGTACGGCCAGGGTGAAAAAAAAATATTTTCTGCAGGCAACAAAATATGAGGAAAAATATGCATTAATCCAATAAAATTTTTAATACTCTTCTTGAGAACTTACCTTGCCTGAAGATATTCAGCATAGTGCACGCCTATGCTGGCATAATGGAAAAATAATCAAAGCAATAAAAATTCAGATTAAAAAAAATGTTTACACAGCCAATAGTGAAAATAATATTTTTAAGCCTGAATGCTAACTCAACAAGAAGGCTTCTACTCAATCACCTGATGCTCCTAAGGAAATTTAGGTCTCATCATACTATAGTGATATATACCATATATATACCATATAAAAATAGAAAATAGGGCTGTAAATAGACCTTTGGAGGTCAAGTTGTCCGCTGCTTTGCCTGAAGGCAGGATCAATGATTCCTCACAGATGTTTGTCTAAACCAGTCTCCATGAAATGAGTACTAGCAACTTTTTTTATCTCATCAGTTCTTAACTCTAGCAATTGCCTGGAAGTCAATAAGATGACTACTCGTGTCTAGCCCAAGCTCCTTTCATCACTATGTGTTTTCTCATGTGTTTCCTTAATATGAATGTGACATTTGCCTCCTTCCAGCAGTGGCATTTAAGCTTAGGAACTATGACTCCTCACTTTACTAATCAGTAAATAAAAATCTTATTGTAGGTGCTAAGGAATGCATAAACACTCTAGCTATAGGAGAAAAGGACATTCAGATGTAGGGAAGGTTATGATCTTATGTCAGTGTGCTCCAAAACCACCTGAGTACCTGAGGCAAAGTAAGTGCATGACAATCCATATGCTTTTTTTCTTTTTTCTTTTTTTCGTGCAAAACAAATATTTATGTTCACTTTGGTGGCTAAGAAAATATTAGTAATTTATTCTGCCAAGAACAATAATGTGTTTTATATACACTGAATTGTATTATACAACAGAGAAAGGGGAGATTTCTCTGCTAATGTTTAGAAATGCTGCTTCTGAAAAGCAAAGTCTAATTCACACAGATGTGGCTGCTGTTTGCACCACAGCTCTGCTGGCAGCCAGCAGTTTCACGTGGAAGCTTACCAAAAGACAAATCCCTTACACCCGGAAATCACAGACGTGTGCAGCTGATTACTTCCCTCCCTGATTTTTTAAATTGCTCTTCATTTATTTACAGCAATTGAATATTTGGTCAAACTACTGCCATATTCTTCCTTCAAGTCACTATGCTATGAAGAGGCATGCACCGTGCATAGAACAGAGCCATCTGTACCCTTTCAGATGTAAGTGATGTTTGTTATCTTACTTCTTGTTGGTATTCATCTGCAATTGTACCAAGAAACATTGCCTGGTCAGTCTCTCAGACTAAGTAGCCATAGATGATTACCTTCCTGACTGAGTAAAGTCTATAGGTGTGAATCTGTCCAGATAAAGCAAATAAAGCGAGGGACACTCTGTGACTTATAGAATACCTGGACTGTGCTCACTTCCCTGTCTCTTTCCTCTGCAGCTGCCAGTTCATAACAAAGCTTAGTTGCAGCTCCTGCACGACCTTCCTCTTCCAACTAAAGCCAGTAGAGTGACCCAGCTAGTTCTAATGTCCTAAAAGATAGAAAAAAAAAATAGAAAAAAAGATTAACTCTCAAGCAGAAAGATTTTTTTTTTTTCCAATCAGAAATTAAGAAATTAAAGAAGGGTTAGTTTGTAAACATTTCATGAAGAAAACTTTCTTGGCACCACTATGATTTGAGTATCAAAGATACAATTTTCGCATGCAGAGTGGACCATTAGTGGGGCTGTAGTTTGACTAGCTGTGAGATCACGGTAATCACACATTTTGACAAATTTCTTTTCTTCCTCATTAACTTCAGCTTTTCTCTGGATTAGTTTGAACCAGCTGTAATTCATCTAGGCTTTGGTCTCCTCCCTGCTCTGAGAGATAACTGGTAAACAGCACCATCTGCATGGAATAAGAGAGGCGAAGCTGCTCTTTCAGTTAAAGATTGTTGTATTTTGTTTTATTTTGCTATTTTTTTTTTTCCCTTTCATTACAGAAAGCAAAGCAGCACCAGCTGAAATTAATCTTTATGATGAATAAACAATTTATTCAGTCCTTGTGAACACCCAGATGGATTAGTGGGAAAGGAAAAGATTTACACTTCGTAGATGATTGCTCTCTATGCCACACAGAGAAAATGTGATTACTTGTGTGTGATGATATTTGTACTTACTGGCCTCATAACTGCATCTGCACCACTTATGGTACAGTGACATAATGTTATCTGGGGTGAGTTAGTGTTCTCCTATTATGTCAAAAACCATTCAGATCTTCATTTCTAATATTTTATTTAGTAGGAAAATATGCAAATGACTGGAATAAAACACACATAGTCTCTATATATATATTACTGATTTAAATAAATAAATATATATATATATATATATATATATATATATGTTTTTGAATCTGAAAATAAAGCCAAAATATCTCTGTTTTTCTCTTTCAGCCTAGATTAATAACCTGTAATTGTGACTGAGGCTATGTAGATGATGATGGAATTCTCACATCAGTGATTGTCTCGTAAACTAACAAGAAATTATTTTCTTCTTGGTCCAGGTTACTCTGGGATAAATTCAAAAACAAAATGGGTCACACAGATCAACTCAGAAACTGATGTCAGAGAGCAACATGTGGCAAAATAGAAATAAGTCACTCACAAAATCGTTAGGCTGAATCAGAGATAAACTATTTTATTACCTGCTTATTCTGACTGAAAAAAAACATAAATAAATAAAAAAAGAGGAGTTAAACGAGCATAGTTCTCATTACTATTTCTGAAACAAATTTTTATTCATTTCAGAATATGGCAGAGATCCATAAGCTCTGAAATTTTTCACTATATTTTTGGTTTGTGTAAATAATAAGTGCTGTTCTGCAAAAATAGCATTTTCATTTTTAAATAGCTTTCCTAATGACTTGAATTTCAGGAGAGTTTCTATGACTACAAATCATACACCAAATTGTTGTCTATTAAATAGCACAATGACTATACACGCGACTAAAAATGGTAACATACTTCCATTTCCCATCCAGTAGAAAATATTCTTAAGTGTCTTTCACTTTCTTCTGCTTGACAAAATAAGTAACTACAGAAAAACAACAATTGAATATTTCAGATTATTATAAATCTGAATTAACTAAAGTAGATATAGTAAAATTTTTAGTAGGCATCAAGGTTTTGTCAGGAGAAAAAAAAAATAAAACCCAAAGTTTAAATAATTATTAACTTCTTTTTTTAGTAATCTTATCCCTTAACAGGAAATGTAACATCTCTTCTGAGATATTTTCAGTAGAAGAGCTCCAAGAAAGGTAATAAAGTTTTCACAGGAACAACACCTGTTTAGGGTGACACTTATTTTTATTTTTTTTATTTCTATTTTTATTCTTTTTAGTTTGTTAACAAATCAAAATAGTTTACTTTATTTGAAGAGAAATAAGTAGGTGAATCGTAATTACTTTAGAACTTCCTGAATCTTAGAAGTTTTAGCAACTGACAGAGGATTTCAGAACACTTGTGTAAAGCTTGTGACAGTCTGCTGCTTCTTTCCAAACTTTTGTTCCCACTAGCAGTGACTTTTGCAGTTCAGTCTCTTTTGGTGTCAAAAAGATCACCCAGTGTTTTTAGTGGTAGCTCCAGACTCAGGCAAAACACAAAGTCACTCCATATCAAACAGTCACATATTTCATTCTAAACTAGATTCGTTACTGGAGTAGTTTCTATACTGGACAAGATGACACTTGAAACTGCACAAAACAACACAAAATGAGAACAAGCTATCTTATAGCCTGTTCATGCATAATAACTGTTGTCTCTCCTGACCATTTCATATGCCGTATGTCCAAAGTTATTTTTGGGGCTGTGATTCTTGGTTATCCAACTTTCTCTCATATGGTTGTTTGGCATTCTTTAATATGTTGTAATTATACATCAGCTGTTTATCATACCATCTTATCCCAGATGCTGTTCTTGTGTTTCTGGCAGCACAAGTGTGTTCCTTTCCTATTGATCGTTCTGTGTTGTATTTGGAATTCTAACTGCTTTGTATTCAGCTGGCAGTTAAAAGAGAATACTTTTCCATCTGTATTTGTCATATAATAATATATAATAGTGGGCAAATTCAAGCTACCTTTGACCTGTAAGAAGGAATACTGTTCCAACTTGATACCTAGATACACAAATAAATTAATTAAAATGTGTTTAGCTTCCTTTCACTACTAATTCAAAAAAAATTATTTATTTATTTATTTTTAAAACACATTTGCATTATGCACTGTCCAGCTTCTGGATATATTAGAGATCTGAGTTGCACTTCTGTTGCAGTTCTTTTCTCTTACAGAGGTACTTTCTTCCTTGGATTAGATCCTTAGTCCATTCCTGTCATTATGAACTTGAATCTTGCTCCTTGTTACTGATATTTATTTGTTTATTAACTATATTAACCCTTGATCCTGTCTGGTCTCTGTCTTCCCATTATTTTCTTTGAGCTGTTCAGATTCTGATCACTCACAAGTTTTACATGCTTGTTTTGGCCGTTGTTGTTCTCATAATCATTTCGTTTGTCTATACAAATCTATATGTTTGTTAGTCTCTGTTTTTACCTTTGATCTGGAATCATCTAATATTTTCATTTTCTACATGTGACTATCAACTTGACTTGGGTCGTTATCTGATGCATTTAGGATTCCTATCTTCTACTTCAGTTCAAGGTTGTTCCATTATGTATTTATGAGTTTCTTACCCTTATGGGTTATTCCCAGATAGTTTCCAGATGCCTTCCTTAAAACAGTTTCAGATTATTTAAACTGCATTCCTTGTATCCTGCTTTTGCTATTGATATACTCAGTTGTGCATAGACATGACAACTATATATAAATTAAATACAAAATTTCATATTCAGTTCTGCAGAATTAAATAGATGAGCGCAATGTTATGTGTTAGCTCTTAACCACTGTTTTTGTCTCAGCTTCCTGCCTGAGATCATATAAAGCACCTCAGAACTGAATAATAAACAAATAGAAAATAGGAAGAGATCCAGTAAAAGAGGGTATAAACTTTCCACCCTGCTAGCACTCTCTGTTGAGGCATGTGACTTATTCACACCATGGAAGAGGAGTCATGTAGTTACTCAGCTTTAGCAACTCCACTGGGAGCATATCCACATTCCGATTCATGTGTGAGACTAATCACTTTCTGTTCTTAAGCCACTGTGAGATTCTTCTAACCAAATAGAAATGTTATTGGCAGTACCAGAGAAAGCCTTGGATTTGGATGAAGACAAAGATGCAAGCAGGAGTTTGGGCTTGTGGAGACAATGACAAAGTTGTCTCTAATTGAAAAAAAAATAATAATAATTAAAAAAAAAAAATAAGATTCCTAAATCTTAATATCCCTCATGTCCCTTCCCTGCAGTGAACTGACAGCTGTGAAACAAGGATGTCACATTCCACCAAGTGGCTATTCCACCAAATGGAATAGCCAGTCAGACATTCACCAGAGTGCTGTAATAGGATCCCAAAGTTGTTTGTAAGCCAGAAGGATACCAGTGTGATTCTGCAAGAGGGTATTTCTTTTTATTTTTTTTTTCTTTTTATTTTTTTTTTATTTTTTAGGTTGTAAAGGTTGAATCCAATATAGATCCAATGTTAGAATTAAGTTAGTCAGGAAGACTCAATCAGTTTTTATTTATTTATTTATTTAAGGTATGAGTACACAGAGTTTAATAGTTTAACTATGTGGTCACATAATATTTTTTTTTTCATTAGAAGATGAGCCTTACTTGTACACTAGCAAGTGATTGTGTTTTCTGTCACTGATTCTTGCTTTACTGGAAAGACTTGAATGCCAGTTATCTAAGGGATTTCTGGAGAAAGGATAAATTATATTAAAAAAAAAAAAATGTTCTTCAATGTTTTTTCTAGATCTAAGATATTATGCATAATAATTGAAGGAACTAGAAAAGCCAGGCCAGTCCACATGGAATTTGGGAGGGCTGGATCTCTTCTTTCCACATAAAAGATATGTATATCAGATTTAGGAGTGGAAGAAGATATAACCACAATAGTAGATGTGATACAAGAACTGTTAGAGCAGAATAACCTTCCAATACTGTGACCCCAGAATGTTTTAAAAATTTTTGAATCATGGCATCATGGTTAAAGTTTCAATAACAATTTTGAAATTGCTGTGCAACTGGGAAATGCTTTTTTTTTTTTTTTTTTTTTTTGTAGGCAAGATCAGCTGTGGGCACAATTTAGAAATGGCATTGGAGTGGTAGGAGTTGAGAAAGGTTGTACTCCTTTGTCCTGTAATCTATGATGTGACATATGGAATGCCAAGAATAGACTGTCTGCAGTCCACTTTGTAAATCTGGTTCATAGGCACAAATTTTCTCTGAGTTGGGAAGGAATCTTGGAAAGGATCACTTCTACAGTTCCATCATTGAATTCATCATCATTGTCCCAGAGAAGCAGCGATCAGTGAGATGTGGCTCATGGGCTAGGCATTGGCAAGTTTGCTTTTGGTAGAAGATCGACTAGTGTGTGTGTGTGTTACGGTTACACTTTGTAAATAATTACAGATATGATAAGTTTTATATAGATTATAAAAATGATCTATTGTATTCACATTTTATGAAGAATAAAAAAGATGTATGAAGATTTTTTTTTTTATGCTGACTTCCCAAATATATTTTATACTTTGTTTGTTTTTCTGCATATGCATCTTTTTTCCTCTTTGGCATTTAATTTTGGCTTTAACATATTTCAAAGTATTTGTTTTATTAATGAAAGAACTGCATGTTAACCATTATTTTGAGGTCTACACTGTAATAATACATTATTAACAACGTGGTTCTCACAAAAATAAGCTGCAATGAGTCAATAATTATCAAGGTAGGATTTTACAAATATGATAGATGAGGCACTTTGTATCTATCAGAAAACAACTTCTCTAAGAGCTATTTTTTTTCCTTCTTCAGGCTGGAATCATATGAATAAACCTGCAATCAGGTGAAAGCAAACTCATTTGAGGGCTTTTTGATACTTAGTAGTCAGCAAGCAGTGACTGAATAAATGAGCAATGTTTGCAAGCTTTGGTCTAATTAATGTGAAATGGGCTGATACACAAATTCTGAGAAAATACTTGCTCAAGCTTGGTAGCTGTTCTTGCTCTCAACTCAGAACTATTCAAAATGTATCAGCTTGAGTCTAAGTTCTCCTTTGTATTTCATCTCTATCTAAAAGGTCAGATTAGAACTATGGGAATTTATCCCATGTGATTCAGAAATAAGGAAAATGTGAAACTCATGAGAACTGAAAACAGCTGTTTTACTACTTCCTTTTATTGTGCACAGACTGACAGATGACAGCCCTACCTTTGAACATATATCTTTGTCCATAAATTGGGTGTCACCTGCATACCTATTCAGAGCATATTCATTTGTCTTCTCCAGAGTGGAGGAGGCATCTATATAGAGCCCATCAGAGCTCTATACAGTATGTACTCCATTGCCATCTTCCTCTTAAAGATGTTGAGGACAGATCACAAGACAGGTACCTGTGATACTCCACTTGCTACTAATCAATCCCTGTCCTCTGAGCCTATCTAATTAGTTTTTTAACCATCCAGTTGTCAACTCACCCAGACTGTAAAATTCCACCTTCAGTAAAGGAATATTGTGTGAGACATACCTTGCTATATTCAAGGCCCATCTGGACGTCTCTAGGGCAACCTGCTCTAGGGAACCTGCTTTGCCAGGAGGGTTGGACCCATGATCTCTTGAGGTCCCTTCCATCTACAGTTCTGTGATTCTGTGACACCCACCAATCTCCCATCTTCCTTATTCCTGGTCATTTTATCATAGAAGGCAATCAAGTGTGTCAGGAATGATTTGCACTTGTTTACCAGCATGGTTACCCATGCTGACTGGTCCTGGTCACCTTCTTCTCCCTCATATGCCCAGAAATGAGGCCTAAAAAGGTTCACACTACAATTTTACCAGGGACTGAAATAAGGGTGACCAGCCTATAGTTCCCTAGACTATATTTTTGGACTATTTTGAAAAGAGATCTTCTTGTGTTCTCCACAACCTTTGGAAGATATAAGAAGTGGCCTTACACATCAGAAAGTTCTCTCAGCACCCTTGAATGCAACTTGGCAGGTGCTGTGGACTTGCATCTGTTGAGTTTTCCAAGCAGTTATTGACTCCATCATTATCCTTTACTGGTAGTCTTCCTCCTTAGGCTTCACCTCTAAGCACAGAGGAATGGGAGAACTCATCCCTGGGATACTCTGCTCCTTCTCTCCTTTTTATTGAATGAAAGATTCCCAGGGCAGTCCAAAAGTGTGTGCACTAACTGGATTAATAGTGGCAAATCTATATCAGGTACTATGTTTGGCACAGGATGTGTAGCCAGCAGTGTTACAGTTATTTTTATAACAAACTTAGCACTAGACATAAAAAGCGTGTTACTTCTGCCTGAGACTATTACAGGGAAAACAGGCACTGTTCCTGTCACTGCCCAGAACACAAAGTATAGCAAGTCTTTCTTTTGTCTGAACAGCAATGTCAATTTTCTCAATGACAGCTTAATCAGCTACTTTTAATGACCTAAATGTTAGTTGCATTTGGAAATTTAATTCATGAATCATACTGTATATATATATATTTTTTTTTGTGGGGGTGGGTTGGGGGGGTGGTGGAGGATGTACTTCAAAAGGAAATGAAGTAATAAAGTTAGAAATTACAATGAAACATCCAGAATATACTGATAGCAATATAAATTATATAATTTGGTTTAAACATATTTAGTAAGCTGCAGTTCCTACAAGAATGAATTTTCCCCATTGCTTTCTCTTCTCTAGTTTCTTTTTTGATCATTCCATTCCAGTCATTCTAACCGTTTGTGTTGCCTGCTTTTATATTGCATCAGGTTTTAGGAGCAAAACTTGAATATATCAGTAGAGCTTTTCAAGGGTGTTAGAGGAATCACTGCAGAGAAGCTGCTTCACTGTAATGTTGTCACTCTTACTTTAGAATTTTCCGCTTTTTTTTTTTTTTTTTTTTTGACTTGCTTTTATCCAAGATTTGAGTCCTAGTCACTTCTTTCTCTCTAAGACATTAAATAGACAACATTTTTTTCATTAGACTTCTTTTTGTTTCCAGAAGGTTGAAGGAATTCATCGAAGTAAAGGTCAGATGAGGCAGAAAGACTCTATCTGATTTTTTAAAATAGTAGCCTAAGGCAAATGATAAGGTTTCCTACTAAAACATGGTTTTCTGAATGTGTTGAAATCCTGAAGCTCCTAGGAATCTCTGAGAAATTAGTGCAGTGCCCTTCCATTGCACCTGTCCGATCTATGCCAAGACCAACAGGAACCCAATGGCAATAAAGGGATTTATTGCAAAGCAGGTGCGCACATGGATTCAGAGGGAAAAAAAATGCTGTATTAGCATAACTTGCTTATGCCCTTGATATTTCAGTTAATCACATACTAACTGTTCCTTCTGTATGACCAACTTGCTTGCTCTGCCTTATTTGGCAAATCTTCAGTAGATGATATTAAATGGAGATAGTGAAAAAAAACAAAAACCATATGGTGTGAGTTAAGACTACGTAACATTGACTAAAACCAAACGATGTATAAAATGCAGGACAAAAAATAATTTTCTAAAAGAACATTTTATTACTGTTGACAAAAGAATCAGACAGTGCTTCTGAATCTTTGTAACAAACGGTCCTAAAAATGAGACGTACCATGCCTTAAGATGGAAATTTTAGGCAAAGAAAAATTATTACACGAAATGTCAGGAGATTTTGTTGGTTTGACATTCATGAACACAACTGCAGAACCTAGACTGTCAAATAGAGAAGCAAAGAAAGTTCCACACAGCACTCAGATAGCAGACCCTGTCAAAATAGATATGACAGGAGGGCGGTCTACAAACTACATTGTATGGAGACATAAGTCAGCAAAAATGTAGCGTTTTTAAAGACACTAAACTGGGTATTACAGAGCAATTCAGGAAAGAAAATCTAGTATGATAACTTGCCAGATCTTTGAACTTTTCTTGGCTTATTTTGAGTGTTTTTCTACCTTGATAAGCTGTAACAACTTTCTAATGACCGGAAGTCAATTTCTTAATTTGTTTAACTTTTGCTTGTCTTTGTGTAATAGTGTAAAAATGAGTTGTAATTTTTCTATAGATAGTGTTAACAAGTAGTTACCTTTTGCAAAAGAAAATATGTGACCCCAACATAATGAGGCAGTGTTAGGGTAATACAATTGCAGTGTGATGTCAGTTGGAGCACAGGATGTTGTGTGTGGTGTGGAAGGTAAGAGACAGGGCAAAAGTGGAGACCAAACTCAACCATGATCAGTTAAAGGAGTGAGAGCTGGGCAACACTGATTTAATAATAATGAAGAGAGTAAAGAATAAGGTAAGTAAAACATACTATATATTTTACATGCAAATATACTGTAGAGTGAAGGAAGTGCAAGGTATGAAAATGTGCAGTCTATAAAGACATGTAAAAATATCCACACCTGGACCCTACAGGAAGGAGAAAGAAAAAATTAGCATCATACTGCTCACAGCAAAGGAAAAGAAGAAATCCCATCATCAACATGACTCTCCTTGGGGATGCTGTTTACTTGCTGCAGATGTCTTGTTCTTCTTGTTCTTGTTCTTGTTCTTGTTCTTGTTCTTGTTCTTGTTCTTGTTCTTGTTCTTGTTCTTGTTCTTGTTCTTGTTCTTGTTCTTGTTCTTGTTCTTGTTCTTGTTCTTGTTCTTGTTCTTGTTCTTGTTCTTGTTCTTGTTCTTGTTCTTGTTCTTGTTCTTGTTCTTGTTCTTGTTCTTGTTCTTGTTCAGAGGAAGACTCTCTCTGATGGCCTGAGGATAAAGAGCTGTTGTGGAAAAGAGCATACATGTATGCAGGGAAAAGACATAGAAAATAAGTTTTGCATAATAATTTTTAATATAATTAATGACATCTGATTTCCATTAAATAGAGAAATTGAACTAGAAGAATCATGAATATTTGGTGAAGGTTAATATAATTGTAAGTGAACTAATAAAGATATTTTTGTTGTTGTTGTTAGTGTTATTGTTGTTTTGTATTTTATTTAGATTTTAGTAAGACTAAAAATAAATTTATTGTTTAACATTTGTGGTCTACTACCCTTTTTACCCATGTGAAGAGTTAGAAAGTAACAAATTAAAAATTAGATAAAGGTGACTTAAATTTAGTGTATGATATCTGAACTGTGGTAACTATACATCTGCTTTTAGCAAAAATCAAAGGCAGGACACTTTGGCTCACAGTTAATATACGTTTGCAGATCATGGTCTGCAAAATACATGAATACATGTATTATTCTTCAATACATGAAGAAGAAACAAAAAATTATACAGCTCATCTGATGTCTGATTACTTGATGAACCACGGTATTTGGAGGATTAGATATCAAAACAGTAAAATTCCAGAACAGATCATATCAAGAAAAGAATGATAATTATCCAATGTACCTATATCTGTTCTAAAGAGAATTTAAAATTCATACCAAGTATCACTGGTGTGAATTTAATATAATTAAAAAATAAATTCCAATATAAGAACTATACAAGAATTTCTGTAGAAAGTACTGATTAAAAT